CGCACAAGAGTATCTCCTGAGTTTTAAAACTTGCAAGCTTTGATGATTGAATTCTAGCCCAGTCTGAAGCCCTGCCCTATGTTGTGGGAGTTTGCCTAATTAAGCAAATCCAAGTCCAACTGGGCAAAACCAAGCCTCTGCCCATAGGCTTAGAAGGCCAGCTCTGAACCAATGCTGCCATCATCCACACTCCCACCTGGCCCTCCAGAAGAAAGGACACTAAAGCTACGTGCAAGACCAGCGTGCTTTACCCCAATGCGGAAGCCACTCAGGTCTTCCAAACAAGACACACAGCAGAGCTGCCGAGTCACAGGGTGCCCCTGAGCTTTGCTACCAGCCCATCCTCAATCTTTAACTCTCCACCTGGTGTCCTGCGACACCCGACTTTCCTCACCCTTGGCCAACTTCCTGGGCTCCCTGCCCAACTTCTCCTGGGCTGAGCCACCAACTGCCACCTCCCTTTCACAGGCCTTCACCATCATGGACCAGAACAGGGACGGCTTCATCGACAAGAATGACCTGAGAGACACCTTTGCTGCTCTCGGTATGTGGTCCCCAGCAGCCCTGCGTGAGGGTCTCTTTACCTCACCCCAGTGCTGGGTGGAGGGTGGGGCCGTCAGTAAAGGCCAAGGCCTTGTCGTTTCCCAAGGAACCAGCTTGCCCACGAATGGCCTTTAACTCAACTTGTAGAGGACAGCGGAGAAACGTTGAGCCTTTGCATGGCTTATCTTTTATTTTACCTCTGAAATAACTTGAGGTGTGATTTTTTTTTTAAACCCACAGAGGGTGTGTGCGCTCACCAGATAGAAACAAACTAAGAGAGACAGAAGGAGAAAGCACCCCCAGTGGGGCGTGGCCATGCCTCAATCTCTCTTCCATTTCTCCAGCCCATCAGGATCTGGCCACACACGTGGGTGTCTTTCAAGCCGGCTGAGACTCAAACTACAGTTGGCTGTGTGCCATATGGCTCCCTTAACTATTAGGCTACAGGATCATCCCTTTCGTGTAATTTTTAAATTTTTTTAAAGCAATGCCAGCTCTTAGAAAATTCAGGAAAGTATCAAGGGGAGAACGACATTAACCCAAAAGGTTACAGGCCACTGTTAGCATTCCGGTCTCTCCCTTCTTTGTCTTTCTAGGCGTTACGTGGTTTTGGGGTTTGATTTTGACTAATTATTGGGTCATTAGAAAAGTCATGACGTGTTTTTCTATGCAAAAATGCATCATAACTTTTCTGAAGACCCAATAGTATCATTCTATTTTTGGATTCGGCTTTTTAAACAATGAACATCTCAACAGTGTGACCATGAGTGCATGGAGCTTTTTCAAAGTACACATGTCCAATCTGCTACCCGCCCCCTCCCCCTCAGAATCAGGGCTGCCAGGAACAGCTGTGGGTTGTACGCTGCACAGTTCTACAGGGCGCTATTCCCATTCGTAGCTAGCATAGCTTTTTACATTTAAAGCATAAATTGTCTAGGGCCGGCAGGTGAGGTGGTAGTTAAGGGCGCTGGACTCCCACATGGCCGACTGCAGTTCAAGTTCAAGACCTGGCAGCTTGCTTTTTCACTTTCTCTTTCTCTCCCCTTCTCTGGTTAAATTAAAATAAAATAAATGGATAAACAGAGTTAAATAAAACAGTTCTTTTAAAAACAACATAAATCGTCTTAGGAAATGGTAATTTTTTCTAATTTACACAAAGGTACTGGTTGAAACAGGGGTTCAAGTCAACATGTCAGAATTTCGAAGGCTTGAGACCAGAGGATGGAGCAATAGCTATGTCACTGGACTTCCACGTAGTCAGTGCAGTTCAAGTCCTGGACCTGGCAGCTTAAAACTCACGCCAAGTATGTGTGTGCGCATGCCCAAAATCCCAAGAGGAGAATGGAAGAGAAGGGATTGCAGCATGGCCATCCCCGCAGGGAGATGATTTCTCACTTTCTGTCTCTCTGTCTCTATCTCTCTGGCGAGCACCCTGAGCAAAAATCTCTCTTAAAAAAAAGAATTTCCAAGGCTGTGGGTTACCGCAGGCATAATTATTATTATTATAATGTTTTAGGTCTTTGCCATAGGGTGCACGTGCTCACTGGAGACAGACGGTGACAGGGAAAGTGAGAAATCACTTCCCAGGGAATGGCCATGCCATGTTTGATCCCTTCTCCTTCACTCCCCTCCTGGGATTTTAGGCACACACGCACACCTGCCCGGTGTGATTTTCAAGCCACCAGGTCTGAGACTCAAACCACTTTTGGTCACGTGTGACCCCAATGCCTTGATCACCACACCACCTGTGGGCATAATTTTTAAAAGTTCCCTCAGGTAATTCTGATCTGACTCTCCCACCTCCAACTGAGAAAGGCTAATTCACAATATGAGTGAAAAGTTTCAGGTGAAGAATACACTATGTTTTTAGAATTATTTAATTTTATTTATTATTGTGTTTTTTCATCTACTTTAGGGCATGTGTGCTCACTAGAGACAAAGAAAGAAAGGGAAAGTAAGAAAGTAATCTGCCAGGTCCAGGACTCGAACTGTGGTCGGCTAAGTAGGAATCCAGCAGCTTAACCACTGTGCCATCGGCTGGCCCCCACAGCACGCTATTTTTAAAATACCCTCTCCCCACAACAGATGTTTGGGCTGTTTTCGGTCATCAGGCTATTAGAAATAACGCTGTCTAGAACATCTTTTTACATGGACTTTACCCCTGTCTACACCATCTCTGATTATCCCTAGACTCGATTCTTTGAAATAAAATGACAGAAGAAATGCCAGCATCATAATAAGCATTCCTCTCCCAGTTTGGAGACCCTGAGTGTGCGTTTCCTATCCTAGGGCGTGTGAACGTGAAAAATGAAGAAATCGATGAAATGATCAAGGAGGCACCAGGTCCAATTAACTTCACTGTGTTCCTGACGATGTTCGGGGAGAAGCTTAAGGGTAAGCTTGTGTGCGTGTGTGTGTGCATATGTGTGTCTGTGTCTCTGTGTATGTGTGTGTGCATGCGTCTGTGTGTGCCTGTGTCTGTATGTGTGCCTGTGTCTCTGTGTGTGCGTGTGTGTGTATCTTTATCTTTTGGCATGAATTGAAGCAACAGGAGAACAGGCAGGGGGTTAGCAAAAGGTGGGTAGCTTTTAAGGAGACAAAACACCATCAGAGAACAGATCTATAACAGTACTAACGCGGCTCCAAGCTGACCCTAAGCATGAACTTATTTGTTGGCACCTCGGAGGTAGGTTCTGTTCTTAGTCCATCTGTAGAAGGGAAGTGAAGCTCAGAGACAGAAAAACACTTCCCTGAGGCCTCACAGCTAGCGAGTGCCAGAGTAAGGATTCGAGTCCGGGTCTTCCTAAGTCTAGACTCTCTTAGACCTTTGGTTCGTGCAGAAGTAACTGGATTTGCAGCCCTCTCTTTCAAATGACAAGGCTCAGCACCCGGAGGAAACTTTCCTTCAATCAAAGCAGCCTTGCTCTGGCGCCTCCATCTACGGGGCCCTGTGTGGGCCCTGACCCCGGGGCCATCACGGGCCCCCACCCACAGCACATGCACGCCCTATTCTCTGTTTCAGGCGCAGACCCAGAGGAGACGATTCTCAATGCATTCAAAGTGTTTGACCCCGAAGGCAAAGGGGTGCTGAAGGCTGATTAGTGAGTAGGGTCTGGGAGGAAGAGAGGGTCCCTTTCTCCCCCATCCTCTCCCACGCACCTGACCCCAACACGCTTTTCTCTCTCTGCAGCGTTCGGGAGATGCTGACCACGCAGGCGGAGAGGTTTTCCAAGGAGGAGGTAATTGGGTCCCTTCAGGCCCTCACTGTACTCCCTGCTCCCAGGCTTGCCCTGTGGGGACTCCATCACCCCCTCTGCTATAAGTCACCCCTAACCCCACACTGAGAGGAAACCAGCTACTAAGCCTTTGCTTCATTTCATTCTCTCAACCACCCCATGGGGTAAGGGAGTTTCTGTTACATAGATGGGAAACCGAGGCCAGTGAAGTAAAATCACTCGCTGAAAACGACACGACAGTGAATGTCAGAGCCTGGATTCAAGCCCGGGTCTGACTCGAGGGTCTGTCTCCCTCAGGACGCAGAGACCAGACAGAGCCCCAGTTTACTGCGGCAAGTAGGGCTGCCGTGTGTAGGGGGTGCACTCAGAGCTCTCTGCGCTCTGGTCCTGGAATAGCCATGCCACGCTGTATATGTTACAAAAGTTTTCCAGCAGGTGGCAGTAAAATGTCTTATTACATATTTTTTTAAGAGTTTTTAGTTTGGTTGGTTTTTGCCTTAGGGTTTGCATGCTTGCCAGAGAGAAACAGAGACAGTGAGAAAGTGAGAAATCACCCCCCGACCCCCATCCGTTCTCCTCCATTCTCCTCCCAGGACCTTGGGCATCCATACATGTGATGGGCATGAGTATCAAGTCACCAGGCCTGGGGCTCAAACCACAGTCGGTCATGTGGAAGTCCAATGACATAACCGTTATACCATTTGCTGGTCCCACTTGTTTTTAAGGCAGTATATAAGGCCTTTTTCTGTCAGGTAGCAGTTATGAATCTGAAAGATGTGTCATTTTGCTAATTCCCCAAGGTTCTGTATGAGCAAGTCAGGGTCCTGTCAACATTATTAGTGAGCTTTCATGAGTTTGTTTAAAATATCCCCTAGTAGCCAGCCTCTCAGACCTGTTCCCACTGAATTCCACATTTTACTAAAGATTTTAGATACTCCCCCTCTCCCCCCAAAAACAAATGAAAACCTCAAGCAGTTAAAAGAACTGCTGTCACTTTCCACCAGCTGTGACTTTGGACAAGGTCCTCAGCCATGCGGTGCCTCCATTTCGTCTGTACAGTGGGGGTGATAATGGAACCTACCTCCTGCAATGGGACTTCAAACATTCATGGAGAAATGGAATCAAAAGACGCGTTTAGGGACCAGCAGTTAGCGTAATGGCTATGTCGCTGGACTCCCACGTAGTCGACCACGGTTCGCGTCCCGGACCTGGTGGCTTAAAACTCACGCCAGGCGCGTGTGCGTGCGTGCCCAAGATCCCGAGAGGAGAATGGAGGAGAAGGGATTGCAGGGTGGCCACTCCCCCTGAGGGGAGATTTCCTGCTTTCTGTCTCTCTGTCTGTCTCTGTCTGTCTGGCGAGCACACGCGCCCTATAGCAAAAACCTCTCAAAAAAAAAAAAAAAAAAAAAGACGTGTTTATTTTGTTGCAAAAATGTTTAAAATCCACACAGTTTTTCCAGGAACTTTCTGAAGAGCCACGGCATGTTGTGAGGATCTGAGTTGTGTAGAATGTGCTGATGTGGGGGCAACAGAAGTGTTAGCTTTTGATAGCTGGGATTTTTTTTTTTTTTTTTTTTTTTTTAGGGGGAGAGAGAGGGGAAAAGCAAGGCACACCTATATATACTTACATGCATGTGCATATCCACACACATGTGTATATATATATACATACATACACACACACATATATATATATATTTTTTGGAGAGGTTTTCACTATAGGGCATGTACACTCGCCAGACAGACAGAGAGAGACAGAGACAGAAAGCGAGAACTCACCCCCCAGGGGGGATGGCCTCACCACAATCCCTTTCCCTCCGTTCTCCTCTCAGGATCTTGGGCATGCACACACACACGCCCAGCGTGAGTTTTAAGTCACCGGGTCCGGGATGCAAACCGTGGTTGACTACGTGGGAGTCCAGCGACATAGCCATTACGCTAGCTGCTGGTTCCGCCAATATAATTTTTAACAATAAATAAGCACTACTTTTTAAATGGGGAGATATAAAAAATAATAAATATCTAGATTTCTGACCTCCTTGCCCGTGTGGCCACATGCAGCTGGCCACGAGCATTGCCACCTCCGTAGAGTGGATGCGCCATGTGTCTCCACTTAGCCACAGTCACCGCCAGGTCCACGTCACGCCCTTACCTAACCTCCCCGGCCCCTTTGTGCACTCGTTTGCGATCCCTGCTTTCCCACTACGAGAGCTCAGTCGCTGGGAACATCCCTGCAAGATGTTCCTTTGGGAGGGTCACTGGGGTCAGCACCTGGAGAAGGGAGGGCAGGGAACCAGGAGTGTGTGGAAGGGGGAGTGGAGCCCAGATTCAGATCCAAAAATAGCCTCAGTTGATTCCCCAGGGAGCCCTGGAGCTTCAACAGCCTTTTGAGAAGTCCCAAGTTGGGCGACATGGCCAGGCCTTTCCACCCCCACACTGACCAGCTGTCTGTGGGCTGCCTGGGATGGGTGTGACGTTGGCCACGGGATGCTCTGTGACAGTCAGGCCACGAGTCCTTCCTTGGAGGAGTCTAAGAGGCGTCTCCTTATCCACCACATCCCCAGCTGCCTCCCACTGCCCTCCTTCCCGTCTTCCGCCCGTCTGTCCTCACCATATCTTGCTGGTCGATTGCAGATTGACCAGATGTTCACCGCCTTCCCCCCGGACGTGACTGGCAACCTGGACTACAAGAACCTGGTGCACATCATCACCCACGGAGAAGAGAAGGACTAGGGGCGTGCTCGCCACAGGCCCCGGCCCATCTCCGGGGGGAGGTTCCCGGCCCCCCACCTCTCTTCTTGGTCCCACCTCCGTCCCTGGCCCTGGCCCATCAGCTCGTGGCTGTCTTGTTTATCCACTCCATTGTCTTTGCAGCCTGGGTGGCTTATAGATAGCTCGTGGCCACACCTCCTGCAGGCGGAGATCCATGGAGGCTGTGTTCAAATAAACAGGAGGTCGGGATTTGGTCCTGACGTTCCTTTGACAAGTGCCTTGGGAACGAAGGCCCTTTGCTAATTCGCATGAATGCAGTGAAGGTGCTAGAGACGGCCCTGTTGTCATCATCGTTGAATTCTAGAGACTCTTTATTTAAAACAGAGCTTTGCAGCCACTCAGGACTTTCTATCAAGGGCCACATTTTACTAGACAGCCACAGTCCTTTATTTCCAAAGAGGTCAAGCGTTTGGAGAGTCTAGCTCCCATGACGTCCTTCCCTTTAGGAGATGCCTTCGAAATGTTTTTTTCCCATAGAGATGCCCAGACAGGCCCCATGATAATGACAGTAAGATCGTGGTTCATTTGACAAAACTTGCACCTATTCATCGTGAGAGCTTAGAGTCTAGTTTCAGACAAAACTGAAGATACCTGTACTGTCTCCTGACGAATTGGCGGGGTGGGGGTGGTCTGATTTTTGACCTGTCTGTAGTGCAGGTAGACCGTGTGTGTGCTGACTCTTGATTCTGAGTGGCCTAAGTCATGGTTGAGACATTCAGGTCTATTACAGCTGCGAGAATTCCAACTTAAGAAACAAATGGGTTCACACAAATCAGAAATCTAAAGGCTTCAGGCATAGCTGCGTCCAGGAGCTCAACGGTACCTTCAGAGCCCAAGGAGGCTGCTCCACTTCTCCGCTTTCTTTCCTAGTGCCCTGTTCTCAGAGGCGGTAAAGTAACTCCCAGCAGTTCCCCATTCCTACCTATCCCCTCAGCAATCCAAGCTCCACATAAACATCACAACAGGGCTTCACGAGATCTCTCGAGGGGTACGTGTAGCAACCCTGACCCGACCACCATGGACTGGCACGTGCAGTGCTCTGACGCAGACTGAGTCACATACCGAGGCTGAAGTCAGTCTCTTTGAACCACATGGCCTACAAGGGGTGATTCTCCAAAGGGAAGCTGAGAAGGGGGAAGTGGTTCAAGAGAACCCCAAGAACCCAAGAATCCAGGACACAGCCAAAGTGGATGGCGAGACGAGAGCACAGAGCCTCACACAGAGAGCTTGAAGGGGTCCAGGACGCTGGAGGAACCAGAGCTGGGACAAGTCTTCTAGGCTCAGGAATAACGATAGCGCCACCCCCCAGACAGATCTCAGGTTCGGGCCCATCAATACAACTAACAGAGTCAGCCCGGGTGCCAAGCACTGGGCTCCTTCCAAGCTGGGCAGAGATGCAGAGGAGTCGAGGCCTCCACCCACAAGACCCACAGTGACCCACATTCCTCACAGCCTCTGTTCCCTCCAGAGACAGCCCAGGCCAGAGCCTGTAACTGCGGCTCCTGCAGACATGCAGTCGGGCGTCAGGAGGCCCACCTCAGGGCACTCGCTAAGTGCTAAGTGGGGTTGAGCACAAGACACCATGGGCATGGCTCCACAGCGACACACTCACCCTGGGAGAGGCACACAGATACAGGGACACACGCACAGAGACACACACAGATACAGGTAAACAGGTAACATGCACAGAGTCACACAGACACACACATAGATACAGGTGCACACGCACAGAGACACACACAGATACAGGTAAACAGGTACATACACAGATACAGGTGCACACGCACAGAGACACACACAGATACAGGTAAACAGGTACACGCACATACACACATACACACACATACACAGATACAGGTGTATACACACAGAGACACACACAGATACAGGTAAATAGGTACACACATACACACATACACACACACAGAAACAGGTGCACAGGTACACACACATACACAGATAGAGGTGCACACACACAGAGATACACACAGATACAGGTAAACAGGTACACGCACAGAGACACATACACACACAGAGATACAGGGACACACACACAGAGACACACACAGATACAGGTAAACAGGTACATGCACAGAGTCACACAGAGACACACACAGTTACAGGTAAACAGGTACACACAGACACACACAGATACAGGTAAACAGGTACACACAGACACACACAGATACAGGTAAACAGGTACATGCGCAGAGTCACACAGATATAGGTGCATGGGTACACGCACAGGGACACACACAGATACAGGTGCACAGGGACACACACATACACACACAGATACAGGTGCACAGGGACACACACAGATACAGGTAAGCAGGTACACACATACACACAGATATAGGTGCATGGGTACACGCACATACACACACAGATACAGGTGCACAGGTACATGCGCAGAGTCACACAGATACAGGTGCACAGGGACATGCGCAGAGTCACACAGATACAGGTGCACAGGGACACACACAGAGCCATGCAGAGTCACACACAAATACACACAGAGACAAGGACACACGTAGAGGTACACGCCCACATACAGAGGCGGACACATACCAAGGGGACACAGATACACACGCACACAGGCCCTAGGCACCCCGCTCCTGCCTCTGAGCATCTGCTATGCCCCTGGTGGTTCTGGGGTCTCCAGTTCAGTTCTGTGGTACCAACGCGGCCCCCACACACCCCGCTGCTGGGTCGCCTGGTGGGCTGTGGCCATCCCTGGGCCTCTTAGGGCCCTTTGTCCCTGGATAGCTCCTGCCTCCTATGCCTGCTTTTGAACCTGCCTCTCATTCTCCCACCCACCCCTGGGGGGCTCCCAGCACCCAGGTCTCTTGACAACGTGTGTTGTGTGTACAAAGGCACCCGGGTCCCCTGGTGATGTGTGTGGAAAGGCACCCGGGTCTGCTGGCCATGTGTGCAGAAAGGCACCCGGGTCTGTGGAAGATGTGTGTGGAAAGGCACCTGGGTCTGTGGGAGATGTGTGTGGAAAGGCACCCGGGTCTGTGGGAGATGTGTGTGGAAAGGCACCCGGGTCTGTGGGAGATGTGTGTAAAAAGGCACCCAGGTCCCCTGGTGATGCATCCCGAAAGGCACCCGGGACATGGAATGAAATGTTTACTCTTTCTGGATATGGTACAAACGCAGCCTCGTCTACCTCAGACCATCAGCTTCTTCCTGGACCTCAGATCATCCCCCTTGTCAGGTAAGCTGTACACACGGTTTTCCTTGTTCCGAGACTCCTTGGAACTGTAGTTGTCGAGCACCAGCTGCCGAAGGCTGCTGTGGTCCAGGGGCTGTTCCACTGCACCGGAGGTGAGATGGGCATGAGGAGTTTGGAAATCGAACCCAGCACCAGAGGCTTCCTTCCCGGGGACAGTGTCCATGGCTGCCCAAGGCAAGGGTGCCCAAGCCTGGTCTGGGGTCACTTCAGTGCTGGTGAGTGGGCAGTGAAAACTCTCAGGGCTCAGGAAGGGGAGGTGGGCACAAACGTACTTCCCAGTGATGCCCATAAAATGTCTGTCTTCTCCCAAACATGGGAGAGACTCGGGGTTCAGTATCAAGGAGACAGCCCAGGTGCACCTGTTTGGGATACGCACTGCACAGCGACCCCTGGAGGAGGGACGTGAATGGGGGGACTGAAACCCAGCCCCCATTTGATTGCCAAGCCAAGCCGACCCAGAGAGGGTGCCCCTTCATAATTCATATACCCGGCAGTGGCGCCTCTTCCAACTCACACCTCTGGGGTGCGGGAGCCAACGGGTGGGAGAACCCAGTGTGTGGAATGCTGCCGTGAACAGAAGGCATGAGCTGTAAGTTCCTGCCCTCGGGAGGGCCTGTCACAGCAGCCATGCCCCCTCACCCTGGCAGGAACTCGACAGGCCAAGGAAGTCGTGCTATGGTGGGTGACAAGGGACGCAGTTTTCACTTCTGCTAGGTTTCAGCCACCCTCGCTAAATCTAACAGGAGCTCTAGCTGTGTGTGTGCCGTGTGAGTGTGAGTGTGTATGTTGGGGATCCTCCCTCTCCATCCCTGGCACACCTGAACTGCTGCTCAGAGAAGTGGAAGGGGCTTTTTAAAAAAAATCTAATTATTTTTTCCTGATTACTAAAGTCATGTAAGGTCGTGGTTAGCTTATACACCCTGTGTGTGTGTGTGTGTGTGTGTTTTAATTGTCAGCTTATACATCCTGTGTGTATGTGTTTTGTCAGCTTATACATCCTGTGTGTGTGTGTGTGTGTGTGTGTGTTTTAATTGTCAAAGGGTACGTGCACTCACCAGAGAGAGAGACAGAGGAGTGGGACAAAGCACTGCCCAAGGGGCGTGGCCTGCCAAATCCTCTCTCCTCTGTTTCTCCATCCTGTCGGGATTTGGGACACACTCACAAGCACCCAGGCAAGCCACTGGTGTTGGGACTGATACCGTGGTCGGCCATGTGGGACCTGCCTCCCCTAGTCACTAGGTTATAGTTTTCACGGGAACAATCCTCTTTCCTCCCCTCCTTCTTAACTCCTCTCCCCGTTCCCCCCTCCTTCAGGACCTCCTCCTCCTCTCCTCTCTTTCTGGGTCTCTCTCTCATTACGTACGTATCTTCCTGCTATAGGTCAGGGCTGTGAAGGGCTGTTCTACACATCGTGGGGGTTTTAGCAGCTTCCTGGCACTAGGTGACAGCAGTGCCATCGTCCCTCACTCCCCATCCTGACAATTCAGAATAGTTTAGGATATTGCCAGATGTCTTCTGACAAGTAGCTTGCCCCTGGCTGAGACCTACTGTCTATTCGGACACACACACACAGACACAGAGACACCACAGACACACACAGAGATACAGAGAGACCCAAGGCAGAGACATCCGAGACACAGCAAATGAATGTTGTGGTGGGAACAAAAAGCAGAATTATTGGGAGCAGGAGTGAAGCTGTGTGTGTGTGTGTGTGTGTGTTGCACTTACATATAATTCATACTTTTTTACAGAGATGGATTATTAGTTGGCACACACTGTTGTGCCATTTCCTGTTTGGCTTAATCGTATCAAAGGCAGCCTCGTTGGTCCCCAGGGGCCCAGAGAAGTCATTCCGTGCTGCCAGGTGTTCCCGGGGGGTGGGGGTGGCGAGGTGTGTGTGTGCAGAGTCGGCTGCTCTAGGGTGGGCTTTCCTTGTTTCCGGTCGAGGGCTGTAGTCAGCACCCTCCTGCTTTCATGTCTGACCCCTGAGTGCATTTTTCTTGCTCTCCAAAAAGTGGGTGCGGCCAGTTCAAGGCCCTCCTTAGAGAGAAGGGCTGGCTCCCCCCAAGGGAGGAGCTGTGTGAGCTCCCGGCTCAGAAAGGAAGGCAGTTGGCCACACAGAGGTTTCTGGATTCCAGCCTGAACCAGTTACAGCTGATCAAACCAGGGTGTCGGGGATACGAGTGGGGAGGGTAAGGAGGAGTCAGGATGGGGGTCCCGGATGCAGGAGGGGGGAAGTTACTCAAGAGTGTGGGTATCGTGAGAGCGGAGGGTGAGGGCGAGGGAGAGACTCTGGGTATCGCGTGTACCTATAATATACCAGTTTGTAACATTGGGACATTGAGCTTCATTTTAAAAGATCACAAAGAAGTTGTGAGTTCAAAGCTATCCAGGATAACTAGACTTCAGACCTGCGTCTGGGCCACCCTGGGTCATGGGAAGAAAAGCTCCAGGAGAACCAGGTCAAGTGCCCACAGCCAAGCTGGCACCCAGTGGAGCCGAGGGGCCATAATGACTTGTGAAGAGGGGGAAACTGAGGCTCAACGCTGCAGCTCCCCTTGGGCAACTGGACACAGTACCCCCAGCAGCACCCAAAGGGTACAGGCTTCCCAGGAACCCGACTCAGCCGTCTCCTCCAATGGGCGAGAAAGAGAACTCACCATCCTCTAAGCGGTCGCTGAAGGGGTCGGCTCCCAGCACCGGAGGGATGACTTTGATGGGTTCCATGGGCTTGAGGAATGCAGAGCCGCCCCAGAAAGGGTTGATGAAGGGTAACGGGGTCTCGGTCTCTGCACCTTCCATGTCCAGGATCCGCTTGTAGGACTCTAACAGCAGCAGGTCGTTGGTCTTCTTTTCGATGATGGCTGCAAGAAAACAGGATCAAGATAGCTCCTGAGGAGCTTGAGGTGGCGCCCCCTGCTGGAGGGGAAAGGAAGGGAAAGGGAGTGTAGGGCAGCAGTTAACCAGCTCCTCCTGGCTCAGCGCTTACTTTTGGTTACAGCATATGTTCTCCACAGGGTATCACCACCTTTAGACGGCAGAATCTGGTTCTTGAGAAGCCAAAAAACCTGACTCCTTAGTGTATTAAGTACAGATACACGTATAGGACATAAATGGATAAATGAGCTATCTATGGAATTAACATTTCATGAGGAGAGGCAATAACGGAAAGACTGTCTAGGAAGGCTCTTTAGGGTGGTGATAAGGAAAAGAAGGTTGAGAAACTCTGACTTATACTAAAAAGGGGATGCCGGGAGCAGTCCACTCCTAAAGTCCTGGCTTTCTCTCAGTACGCTTTCTGCTTCAGGCCTCCAGGCCTTTGCAGTCATTCAATGAATGGAATCATTCATTCCTCTATCCATCCATCCATCCCACCAACGGTTCCTGGACGCCCACCCTGCCACACGCTGTGATGAAGCTAAGGCTCCCCCAGAAGGGAAACAAGATGGTGACAACAATAATGACAAAGATGCAGTCCTTGCCTTAGTAACACGTCAGTGAGTGCATGTGGAGGCACAGAGAGACAAGCTAAACAAGTGAACAGGTGTCCCTTGCTACCCAGATGTTCCCTACCTGAATTCAGTAATGACTCGATGTGTTTAATTTCTTTAAATAAACCTCACACTACCCCAGCTGTTGATGTTCTATATGAAAATCAGTGTCCAGACATATTTGCATCTGAAGATTGCAGTGAGCGCTCAGGAAGCTCATGGACTCAGGCAGTAAAATGTGGCCCTATAAGCAACATGGTTTGCCGTGTGGTTTATGCTAAACATCCCATGCCCCTTTTCCCTGTGCTGATTTGGCTTCATATCCTTTTTCTGTAAAGAGTCATAGCCACGGATACGACTATATGCTGAGCCCTTGAGTCCTAACAAGTCATTGAACATGGCATGGGTATTTGGGGGTTGTTCTGGGAAACTGCCAAACCCAGACTGTACAAAGAGTCTTCAAAAAGCTCATGGAAAACGCGTCTTATAACAAAACCATGCATAGATTTCACATTTTGGGGTACTGAAATAAACTCAGACTTAAATTCAACTTTTCCGTGAACTTTTTGAAGTCCCCTTATATTAAGAATCTCAAGCAGCAGAAGCCATCACTACAAATGACCACGGTCTGTATAGGTATAACTCTCCTTCTCTACCCTGAGTTCAGAACCTTGGCTTAGAAATACGTGGGATAGTTCATAGGCATTTGCTGCATACATACCATGCACCAGTCTGAGTATGTATGTATGTATCTATACCTTCTTTTCCCATCGGTGTGCCTTTATCTCTTTTTCTTGCCTTATCACATTAGCGAAGACCACAAGTGTGACAATGAATAAGTATGGTAAGAGTGGACAGCCTCACCTTGTTCCTGATCTTAGGAGAAAAACATTCAGCTTTCCAATATTAAGCATGAGGTTAGCTGCAGTGTTCTGCTTTGTTTTATTTTCTGTAAATGCTCCTTACCAGGTTAAAGTTTCCTTCTATTAAGTTGTCAGAAAAGTCACAATGCCGGGGCCAGCAGATGGTGTAGCGGTTATGTTGCTGGACTCCCATGTGGCTGACCATGGTTCAAGTTCTGGACTTGGTGGCTTGAAAATTATTCCAGGCACATGTGTGTGCATACCTAAGACCTCAGGAGGAGAAGGGATTGTGGCGTGGCCATTCCCCCTAGGGGGTGATTTCTCACTTTCCCTCTCACTATCTCTGTCTCTCTCTGGCAAGCACACGTGCCTTCAAAAAATAAAGTCATAATGCATTTTTACATAGAAAAACAAAAAAAATACATCATGACTTTTTCAATAACCCAATAATTCTAGTTTGTTGAGCGTTTCTATCATGAGTAGATGTTGATATCGAATGCTGCTTCTCCATCTATTGAAATAACCATATAGTTTTCCTCTAAAAACTACTTATTTACTTAATTCTCCCATTAATTCTGAGATAGACACTGAGTTTACCTTCCTCTCCGCCTTTTGCAGATGAAAAAAACTGAAGTACAGAGAGGTTCAGAAACTTGGCCAAGGTCACACAGCTAGTAAGGGTAGAACCAGGATTTAAACCAAGGCAGGCTAGTTTTAGTGTCCACACACTTTCACTCCAGACTCACTACCTCCAAAAGTCCTCAGGTCTGTTCACGGAAAACTCTGCAAATGGCTCCTAAGAGTATGATGGGCCCCAGCCAGACTTACCAAAATACTGCGGAAGGTTGTTGTCAGTGATTTTCCCCGTCTCCCCTAACTGCACCAGAATCTTGGTAGCGTCACAGTTTATCTTCTCAAATAGATTCTCCAGTGAGTTCTTGAGGTACTCCAAGGTCTGGCTGATCTCTCTGTATTTGTTCTCGTACATATCTGCCTCCTCTGTGGTCTTCTTTAGTTTGTCCTGGTGGTAGACCCCAATTCCCACCACCTGTCAGCCCACTCTGGGGACTTTCATTGGGAAGGGGATCAGGAACCCTCCAGAAACAAGGTCACTAAACTGCAGGTTTTCAGACCTCAGAGGGGGTGTGAGCTCAATTTAATGGGCTTCCCTTGGCATTTAAAAAAGGAAACAAAGTAGAACAGAAGTGAAGAGATCTCACCGGTGGGTGTGGGTGAGGGCCATGAGGTATGTGGCATGTGTGTAAGTTTTGTTTCACTTACCTCTCTGTGTCTGTCTGCTGTGTACAGGAGTACAGTAGCTTTAAAACTGCTGGCTTGTTTTTTAAAAAACTGTGGCCCACAGGAAGAAATAAATTGCAACCCTGTACATACATGCCTAGGTGTGTATTTTTATATGTTATCTAATCAGATGAAATTGAAGTTTCACAAATCAACATGTTTACATGTTCTAGTATTTTCTACTCTGTTCTATCTCATTATGTTTACCACCTTTTTTTAATTTTTTCTTAATTTGCCTAAAAGCACATGCACCCACCAGAGAGAAGAGAAAGTACACTCCAATGGGCATGGTCATACCACAATCCCTTCGCCTCCCTCCCTCTATCCTGCGGGGATTTAGGAGACCCACACATGGGCGTACGCCTGGCGTGTTTTGCAAACCACTAGGTCTGGGACTCAAACCATGCAGTCGGCCATGTGCGACCTGGTTCCCCTAACCAGTAGGCCAGGGGCCAACCCATCTCGTGTTTAAGTGCTGGTTGCGTCCCAATAAACTGATTTCACTGTCTACGGTTTCAAACAGCGGTTCTCGAAGTGCAGTCCCAGGGTCAGCTTCCTCTGGGAGCCCATCAGATACGCACGTTCTTGGGCCCCGTCCTAGATCACTATTGAACAGATCCGGGCTCGGTGCTGGGCTCAACAACCTGGGCTTTAACAAGCCTCTGAGTGATTCCAATGTAGCCAAAGTTCAAGAACCTCCGTGAGTCCACTGGATAGCAAACACGGCTTTACACAGGCATCGTCGGGGAACTTTGAACTATGTGCTGCCCACCCCCAGAATGCAAACTTCACGGTTCCAGGATGAGGCCTTGGCATGAGGGTTTTTAAAGCCTCCCAGCTGAGGCTGACATGAGGCTGGGCTGAGAATCACTGCTCTAGGGATGTCCTCCAACGGGATCCTGCCCCATCAGCTTGCAAAAGTAAACCGGGCCCTGGAGGAGCCACTTGTCCTCAAGGGCATCAGGACCATCCCAGATAGCAAGCCCAAGAGGTCAGCCTTGTCCACACTCCCATTTTGCAAGTGAGGAAACTGAGGCTCTAAGACACAGAGCTGGGAGAGGGAAGGCAGGATTCGAACTCAGTCTCTCACCATATCAAGTGGCTTCCTCTGTCTGGCTACTGGAATATTTAGTTCCCTGGGCTGCAAATTCCTTGCACGACAGCAAGAGCTGCCTTCTCGTTCTTAAGTTGCATTAAAATATCACATAAATTTTTAGTCACACGGCTAATCAAAACAGCAGTGTTCAGCCTGATGTGATGGTGGCAACACCCGGCCAGCTCTCGTACCCACGTCATCTCAACTCAAACGGCTGGTCCCGTTTCCCACATTGAGGTCAGAGACAAAAAGTGACCCTGCCTACATTAAGCTCATCTCAGGACCTGACCTTGGGTTCAACTCTTTACTTGGGCAATTATTTAAGAAGAAGACAATGGCGATTTGAGTTTTTCTGACTTAGGAGACAAACAGCCACAGCAATCACAGCTGCCATGTACACAGCACTGCAGTGTGCAAAGCGTGTATAGGCACGATTGTACACAACCTTCCCAGCCCTAGGAAATACGATCACTAGCCCCACTTTACAGATGAGAAAACTGAGGCTCAGAGGTTCCTTTTCTAAGTCACACAGGCAGGGCGTGATTTTTCTGAGTCACACCCAGGCTTCTAGAACCTGGTTGTTTAACTCTTCTGCAAACTGCTCCCATATGAAGTGGCCTCGCCCCTTCTCCCAGAGCAGCAGGGGGGAAGAACAGGGGGGAGTGATCTAGGTGAGGGTGGGGGGAGGACGGGAGGGGTGGGAGGGGTGGGGAGGTGGAGGTAGGAGTCGGGGATTGGGGGAGTGTGTATAAGGAACATCTGTGAGCTCATTGCTACTGAGACGAACTCTCCTGCTTAGAATATTTGTGTTTGAAACAGTTTCCCAAAGTCATGCTACAGAAACAAAGGGTTATGGGGTGCCTTCAGGCAGAGCTGGGGAGATCCCCGGGTCGCTGTCAGCTTCTCCACACTGCCTACTTCTAGGTCTTCAAAACTTCAAGACATCCCCAGCTTCAGTCTCAACCCCAAGGAAGAGTCTGGACTCCAGACGGCCCCAAAGGTAGGACAGGGACCCCAGGCTTGTGCCCAGCTTGGAGAGGGTCTCCCTGGACCTGCACCTCAAAGTCTCCAAGTCCTGCCCACACTCCTGGGAGCCGTCTTGGCCAGAGGACCTCAGTGGGCAGCGTGTGCTCTGCTGCCCCCCAGTGGCCCAACAGAGAATGGCAGTGCTATCCCGTCAGGTGTGTGCTAAGAAAGGGAGGTCAGGTGTTGGGGGTGGGTGGGAAGAGAAGCAAAATGACCCAGCAGTGGAGGTCAGAAGCCAGCGTAGTGGTTGCGGCACTGGACTCCCACATGGCCAAAAAGTGGTTTGAGTCCTGGGCCTGGCAATTTGAAAACCAGGCCATATGCACATGTGCTCAAGTCCCGGGAGAATGGAGAAGGGATTGTGGCATGGCCGTCCTCCCCTGAAGGTGATCTCTCACTTTCCCTCTGTGTCTCTCTGCCTCTTCCCAGCAAGCACATGTGTCCTATGGCAAAAAGCTTAAAAAAATAAAAGACCCACCTGGGGCAGGAATTATGGACGGGGCTATCCAGCTCAACTCTGTTCATATGTTTGTCAGACAACAGGCATTGGCTATCCACTTCCCTTGTACCTTAACCAAACCTTGACTGATGGACTGGAGTGACAATGTACCCAGCCAAAAGTTATAACTCCAAACCTTTCGTACAGTAGAAATGGCCAATGACATGGAAATACCGAAGTCACGGGCTGAAAGCTTTCTGGGAAAAACTTTTAAACTGCCTGACTCAACTAACAAGGCATTCACTCACTCACTCATGCATTCATTCATTCACCTTGTCCACTTTCTTCTTGTCAGGGATATGTATGTGATGCTGGACCTGTGGCAGCTCTGTTGTAACCATTAGGAATGCTAGAAATGTAAGCCACATGTGAAGGATGACAAAACAAAAAGACAGGCGTCTGAGTCATTGCAGACATCATGAGGGTATATCAGTCCTGAAATGCCCTTTTCAAGACTTTTTTTTCCCTTTCTTGTCAGAGGATCCATGTACTTGCAGTGGAGGGAGTGAGAAAATGCTCCCAAAGGGGCTTTTTTCACACCACAGTCCCTTCTCCTCCATTTCTCCATCCTGTCTAGTGTGTGGCATGTATACACATGCATCTGGCCTGTCTCTCAAGCTACCAGGGCTGGGACTTGAACCACCATTGATCATGTGGGATCTGGTTCACTGAACCACCTGGCTATAGAACAGGGCCCAGACCCATTTCCCTTATGAAATAAATAAATGTTTTATCCTGTTCGGTCCACTGCTATTTTGAGCCCCTATTAAGAGTAGCAGAATACGATTCAAAGCCCCTCTCACGTCCCGGCTCCTTGATGCAGAGCGATTGACTTGACCTCTGTGAACCTCGATCTCCTTGTCTGTAAAATGCGGAGATAAACAGCAGGGCTTACCCCTCACGGTTTTATTGTGAGAGGTCAGTGAGCACATGCAAAGTGCTGAGCCTAGTGCCTAGCACATGGTCATTGCTCAAGAAATGTGTCAAACTTGCTGTTCTTGCCCTAGAACAGGGTCTAGCCAGGAGAAGGGAAGAGAAGGAAAGACTGACCAGAGATCTGTCTGCAAGGAGCCTGCCTGGGATGAAATGACAAGCTCTGGCCCCGGGGCCAGGCTTCTTGAAATGGGAGAGTCCTTAGAATGAACAAAGAAGCCCCAGGGACAAAATCCTGCAGCCACACCAGTAGCAGAAGCTGCCTGTGACAAAGGGCTAGGACATGTCTGGAGCTGACTCAGACGGTTTCAAGTCATAGGGCAGATTTCTAACTGCGCCTGAGAATCAAGCAACAGGCCACCTGACCGGCAGACAAACACGGAGACGCCCGCGTCCCTCCTCCTCCTGGTCGTCTTACCTCCAGCTGTCTCAGGACAGAGCGGTTGCCATCGTGGGATGATTTCTGCTGGGATCGCAAGTGGACGATCTCATCCTGCTTGGGAGAAAACCAGACCAGAAGGGTTTGTGGGTGCTTCCTGCCTTGCCACACCTGAAAATAAGCCTGAGCCCCAAGGAGTTGGTAAAGATGTAAAGTATCCACTTCAAGGGGCTCAGAACCCTTGAGCTCCTCCTACGCCTGTGGAGGTTCTTTCTGTTGTTTTTGTTTTGTTTTTAGTTTGCTATAGGATGCACATCCTAGCTGGAGAGAGATAGCAAGAGTAAAAGTGAGAAAGCATGCCCCAGAGAGGATGACCACACTGCAGTCACTTCTCCATCCTCCTCTTGGGAATATGAGCACATGCACACAGGTAGCCAGTGTGATTTTCAAACCAGCAGGTCCAGGACTTGAACCACGGTTGGCCATATGGGATCCAGCTGCCTCGATTTCCACACCACCTGCTGGCCCAAGTTGTTTCTTTTCTTTACAAATTTATTTTTTATTGATAAAATAATGATTTGGGGTTTACCTATAGTTGATGTAGATCTCTATGGCTACAGTGAAGTTTTCATCTTCTTCAACACTGAGCATTACACTAAGTTGTTGTGCACATTAGGTAATAGTTTCACTATTTCTTTTTGCAATGTGTGTTAAATTGTCCAAATTTCTTTTTTTAAAAATAACTATTTATTAAATTTTTTTATTCACTCATTTATTTTTAATTATACAGAGAGAGAGAGAGAGAGAGAGAGAGAGGAAATGAGAAAGCAAGCCACCAGGTCTAGGACTTGAACCATGGTCAGCCATGTGGGAGTGTCCATTGCCTTTAACCATCATGCCACCTGCTGGTCCCTAAATTGTCCAAATTTCTAACTCCACTGTGGTTCACTCTCCATCAATTCTTCCCTTTATTCACGTACATTCTCGTGTCCATTAAAAAATTTGAAGGGTTGGCGCTGTGGCCTCCTGGTTAAGGGAGCTGGGTCCCACAGGGACAGCCATGGTTTGAGTCCTAGCACTGGTGGCTTGAAAAACACCCCATGCACATGTGCATGTGTGCCCAAGGTCTTGACAGAATACAGAAAGAGAGGAGAAGCCCATTGTAGCTGCTTTTTCTCTCTCTCTCACTCTCTCTTTCTCGCTCTCTCTCACAAGTGCATGTGCCCTCTAGCAACTGAAAAACTTTTTGGGGGGAAAAATTGAAGAAAGTAAGCCTTCTAATCTTTGTTTCTTCTTTTTAGAGAGGTTTTGCTATAGGGCATATGCACTCGCCAGAGAGACAGAGACAGAAAGCGAGAAATCACGCCCAGGAGTATGGCCACATCACAATCCCTTCTCTTCCATTCTCTCAGGATTTTGGGCATGCATGCACATGCACCTGGCCGGGTCCAGGACTTGAACAGCAATCAACTACATGGGAGTCCAACCATATAACCATTACACCATCTGCTGGTCCCAACCCTTCTAATCTTTACAGGAAAACAAAAAAGCAAGAAGAAATTCTATTAAAACATTAACCAATGCTATACCCAGGCAATAGGATTCTTCCTGATCTAGCACTTCCCAAGTCACATAAATAACCTGAGTCAGGGGGAGCTCCACTGCCCGGAACACTCCCTCAGCTCCCATCTCCAGAAGCCATCACCAAAAACCTTCTAAAAATGCACTCCCCAAACCCACAACATCCCGCACCTCTCACCCCTGTCACATCTCGCTCTCTTTAACGAGGCGCCCTGGCCTGCTGGCATTCTGCTTCAGGACCTTTGCACTTGCTGTTCCCTCCACCTGGAGCCTTTGACTCCAGAGACCTGGGTAGCTGACTCCCTCACCTCCAAGTTCACTCAGATCTTCTCAACAGCCCTTACCGTTAGCTGGCTCCAAAACTCCTCTCATCTCTCACTGCTTCATCTTTTTATCCACACCACTTCTCACTTTCTAATAGACTCTTAATTTATGTAATAATTAGGCTCATTGTTGATTGCCTGTGTCTCCCTATCAGAATAGAAGTCCCACGTGGGTGGAGCTTGTGTCATTTTGTTCACTGCTACGTTACCAGCATCCAGGACAGTGCCTGACACATAGTAGGTGCTCAGTAAATACTTGCCAATGAACAAATACCAATGTGTTTCTTTCCTCAGTCAGAATATGCAACTTTACATATACAAGAGTCTTTAAACTGTGCATGGAAAATGGAATTAATGTATGAGTTTATTTTGGTACAAAAATTCTTGAAATCCATGCAGAGTTTTTTTCATAATATGCATTTTCCGTGAACGTTTCAAAGACCCCGCATAGTCTATGATAATCGCTACAATAAGTTTAAAAATCATGACCAGGGGCCAGGCAGTGGCACAGCAGTAGCATAGCTGGACCCATGTGGGAAGGTTCCTGGGTTCACATCTTCCTGAACACAGGTGTGATTCAGGTTGACTGAGGCTGGGGTGGATCGTGGCATGTGGACTCTGGTGAAGGTGACTTTTTCTCTCTCTCCATCTCTCCCTCTCTCAGGAGAAATAAATAAATTTCAAAAGAACAATCAAAGAGAAAAAGCTGGAAGGAAATATTTTTAAATGTCACCAATGACTATCTCTAAGCAATGGTATAGGGAGTTATGTTTCAAATTCCCTCTTTCCTTAGTTTCCAACTGTTCTATAATGAGCATATTTTTCTCTCCTAATATATATTTTTTCAAACTGGAAGGTGCTGGAGGAGAGAGACCACCCTCCAATGGGACAGAGTCATGTCTCAATCTTTCCTCCAGTTCTCCATTGCCAGGATCCTGCATGTGTGCGTGCACGCCTGGCATGAAGCAAAGGACCAGGACTTGAACCCCAGTGGGCTACGTGGACCTGGCTTCCTCTGTGCAGCACCTAACTGCAGACCCTAACAGGGCCTGCCATCTATAAGTTTATTTTTAAATTTTCACTCTTTTAATTAGGCCTTCTAGCCCAACTGCAGAGGCAAAGGTAGTAGAGTACCACTCTGCAATGCTAGAGCCACATGGAAGACAGTATTTGGATCCCACATCAACACGCAATGCCCCAGGGAGGTGCACATCCACTGTGATCCCAGCTGGCTAGAGGATCGAGTGGCCAAGATTGCAGCATGAGGAACCTTGCCCAGAGTACCTGTGTACTCTCTCTCAACAAAATTAACTTTAAAAAATTTAAGCCTTTCCACTGGAAAAGCGTTGTCAAGGACATACGTATTCCACATTCGCATTTGCAGTTCTATTTAAGCCCAAAGACACAGTTCTGTGGTGTTAAAAAAGCTTGGAAGCTATGTTCTGGTCTAACATTATTCTATAGATGGAGAAACTGAAGTCCAGAAAGGTTAGGGATTTGCCCATCCTCCTTCAGACACATCCGTCCTAATGTGGAGACTCGCAGCTAGAGTCCCCTCATGAAGAATGGAAGAGATCAAGGTCAATTCTATTCAGAAGCACTTCCTGAGCAGGCCAGAGTATCCAACTGGCATCCTCACATCCTTCCGCTATACTTGTCCTCGTTATCCCTCGAGGACTAGTAAACTGATTCCTGATGGAAAATAAGAATTCAGGGCCCAGGTGGCTCCCAGACCACAATCCAACCATTCTTCAGATGACTTTGCCTAACACCTTCCCTGCAATACTGCATATGGCCACCAGAGGACAGTGGTGAAGCGTTCTGAACATGAGCCCGGCAGCCTGGGATCAAATCAGATCTAGCTGGTCTCAGTGAATGAGGGACGGCATGGCTGTTTATAGGAACTCAGATCCCCTCAGGACTGTGGGCCAGACTTGTCAGATCTGATTTTCCAAGAGAAACCAGAAATTCGAATTTTGTCAATTTTTAAAAGTTGGCAACTAACAAATTAATAATTTGGGGGAGGGAGTGGAGGAGATCAATGACAAAAATGAAAGCTAGATTCAGTTAGATTCTGGCCTCTCGTCCCAACTCTCTCTGGTATGGGCAAAGAAAACCAGGTGTTAGAAACCTAATCATTTTAAATTTTATATATATATATATATACACTTTTTTTTTTTTTAAATAACATGAACTCGCGGCGAGAAGGTGGCTCAGTGGTAAAACACAACACTGCGAGGCAATTCCCATAACGGAGG